CACATTACACCTGCTTGGATACTTATGTGGTCCGACACCACAGGCAGTGGGAACACCAGCATGATTCCCGATCCTTTCCCTCTCACTCAACTGTCCTCAGTAGTGATAGCTGCCTACTTTGAAGAAGGCGATGAGCGCGAGGCCTATTCCGTGATCTCAATCTCGTTCTCATCGTCGAATGCTAACGGTTGGAATTAGCCACATACACGTCCACGCATCATCTGGGTGTCTTTCAAGGGGACATTTGCATACTCTTGGAGTCCACTCCACTGTTTTTTCCCTCATCTGTTATGTGTTTTTAATCATGTGACTGATCCATCCATGTTTCGCTATCAATGTAAAAATTCTGGATCATAAAGGTGGGATTGGTTTCGAAGATCTGAGCTGCGCAAATTGGCTAGACGTTGCGAGTGCCATCTAAATCTGAGAAGACATCGTTCAAAAGCCTTATGAGTGTTGAGCAGATTTTTTGACGCTGTTATAGTATCAGCCCATCTCTTCGTTGCCCAACAAAGCGCTGGGAGAACTCTTGAATTGAGAAGGTAAGCGCGAAGTTTGGGGTCCGCTACATGGTCGGTGGCATCTTTGATAGACTTTAATGCGATCCATGCTGTTTTCCTTCATTAGTCTAGTTCCTCCATTATGTTCTCGATGCTCGCTGAACGTGCAAGATACGCGTACGAGGTGGTCTACGTAATCATAGAACTATTCAGTTGATTTTGTCCACCTTCGCAACATGGATTCTTTATGAGAAGGATCGTCGGCCTGCTTACAAGCAGCCCAATCTTTTTTTCCGCTTCGTTGAGTTCACTGAGCATCACCTTTGATTCAATCGTTTTTTCGAAATTATGACGATGTCATCGCCGAAACGAAAGGTTGATAGGAACTCCAAATCATCACATATGCCTTTCTTGTCTTAATAGCAGCTTCATCATCTAACGTAATACAGCAGTGAAGAGCTGTGGCGTACACTGACGCGTGGTCGAACCCCTTTTTCTATGGATATGATGGATTAACGGAAAAGCTGAATTTTTATGCTTCAACTTCTACAGCAGTTAGCTAACGTTTATCTATGGAAAGGTCGACAACTTGATCTACTCTGACAGGACTGCGATCGTTTCGATGCCATCAAACGCAATTTCATAGTCAATAATGTTCAGAACAAGGAGCATACGGTATCTTGACAGACTTCATTGACCCTTGCCACAGCTCAGATATGGTCCATACAAAAGGATTACTTGTAAAATCTTGTTTGCTCTACTGGATGTGCCTCATTCAAGGCCTTCGATATGAGCAAAAACCATCTTCGTAAAAGTTTGTAGAGTACACTTAACAAGCAGATTGGACGGTAGTTACGAAGATCTCTCTGTCACCCTTCTTAGGAAAGATGACTATGCGCGAAATTCCCCACTGGTCTGGGATTAACTCTTTTTGATGGTACGACTCCTTCCTTCATGCTTTCAATGAAAACTCGAACTACACAAACTAGAATTCGAGATGATTTCTCACCAGCGAGGATTTCAGACCAGATGGGATTGCGGAGCGGAAAAGTTTAGGGGAGAACTTTTCACCAATCAGATGCACATCATAGCGGTATGTAGGGATGCCCCTATCTTTAATCATTAGCGTGTATAGCGGAAAATATAATAATCGGAGAAATTTTGACGACGTATCTCTGACCTGGATTTTATTGTGTTACGTATATTTTCATGATTGTCTTATGTCGGTCTTCATGCTTTTCCTTTTCTCTAGGCGATCACGGAGTTTGATGTGTCCTCAAAAATCCTCAAGAAGTGCGCAAAGAAGGGCATTTGAGGAGATTATTTCGGTATTATAGGTGCAAAGCAAGAAACCGTCTCCATGTCATGTCGCACACGCATTGGTTTTGTCCAATTTTGATGGCACCCCTTTGAACCGGGGAATTAATCGCCTCTTACCGGCCGTCTCACCATCAGACGCCGTAAATGGGAGCATTCAGTGCGTGAGGTACTGAGGGAGGAAATTTCTTGCTAGATTAGGAAGCCGCGAGGATAGCCTAATGATAGTCTTCCTCAGGTTGTCGCCACATTAGGCAGTCGTGGCCTTTGTGGATCAGAGAGAGATTACATTTTGCGATTAGTAGCTACCAAGACGGTGGTGGTCCGTGGTATAGTTCACTCGTAGCTGGAATTTCCGGGTGGAAACGAGGACACCTTCTTACCTTGGGAGGCCTTTCTTAAAGATTGAACTCCCCGCTGTACTTTGCAGTTCGACACTCAAAAGCACTTTGCAGCCACAATGAGTTGGTAAACCACCTGCGAGGTTTTTCGCATTAGTGCAGAACAAATCCCTTTTCCGGAATATTCAAAATATTGTTCATCACACAACCTACCTTTGAAATTAGCTATACAAATGTGAACAGTTTTAAGGCAACTAAGATTTTCAATGAAAAGGTTTGACAGATGTTTATCAGAAGCCTTCAATGCCATTTCCATGATACGAAATTTTCTTGCCAATTTTTCCAACTTGATTTTCTCAACTCAAATCTACAAGAAAAAAGTAGAGATAGTTTTGTTTCAAAACCTCAAAGCAGCGTAGTAGCGGGAAGAATTACCGATAAATTGTGAGACACAGCAGTGATATAATTTATGAAACAGAATCCCACTTTTCTCAATCCATTTTATGGTTCAAGCAAAGAGTTCCGGTGAATTCTCTGCAAATTTCATTTCTTGACATATATGTGCCGTTTTTGTTGGTAGTTTTGTATATAATCATCTAATTCATTGACTTCAACTCCAAAATGCCTATCGAACAGTATAATTTGGGTGTGTTAATTGCCGTTCTGGGAGAAAAGCTTCAACGATTCCTAAATAAAAGGATGAATAATAAAGAATAAAGCTCCCGGCGTTGATCAATCCCTGAGGGATGCGCCATGCATTCGACTTCAATTTTTAACTTCGTTTGAGGTGATTGAATGCATATCTGGCCTTTACAATGACTCGCGGTGGCCTCTCGCTGAACCGAGTCAGTGCTGCATATCCTCCTAGACAGGTTTGAGACCAGTCTGATGCCAATTTGTCGACCCCGGAGCGATGAATGACTTGGTGAACCATGAGCGCGAGATCGAACCACTGACCTCGTGTGCGCCGCAGAACACCTCTAACCACTGCGCCACATGCTCTGTTGATTCTTAAATGCGTTGATGAATTTGATTATGGTGAAAGTGCAGGTACGGGGAAAATCGACTGTGAGATTATGGTTTGAGCTATTTAAAGAAGGCAATTTCGATCTCGTAGATATGCCTCATCGGGCTGCTCATCTGCTTTGGATGAAAGTGGCTTGTAGGCCGTTTTGAATGGTGAACCTTCATCGAGCATTTGTGCTTTGGCTGAAAAGCTTGGTGTTTCGCAGCGGATCATTGCGAACAAGTTGCACAAATTTGACTTTCTCTACAAGAAGCCTCGCCAGAATCCACATAAGCTTCGTCCGATTAGGGCCTCTTTCGACCTATACAGCGCTTTTTGTATGGCCGTCGATCTAAATTATTCAATGAAGTTTAAGGAGTTTTCGGTGAAAAAGAGCCGGAATGGCACTTCGAGCAGATTGGGAATCATGCAGAACGATGGTAGCAAGTCGTAGACAATGGTTGTCTATACTTTGAGGGATAGTCATTGCTGTTTTTGTTGATAATTTGTGCATGAAACAAAAACTTTAAGATGTATCCCACAGCTTTTTGCTTAGCCCTTAGAGTACCATTGCCAATTTTGCGTCGTTGACCCACCAGACCAAGCCTCACACAGCTCCGTCACAGGTTGCATATTAAAGCCAATACCTATGGTTCCAGTTTCCGCACCAAAGAACCATGCGCCAGCTTATTGTAGTTTCTTTTCCGTTTCTGAGCTGCACCACAGATTTTTGGTGATGTTCCAGGTCTATGTATCCACTATGTCTCGTATATGTCTTGCTTCGATGTTTTGTGCACATGTCTTGACAAGAGAAAAAAAAATGAGGGAAAAGATTTCTGCGCATCATATAATAAAGGTTTATTCGAGATTAGATAAGAAAAGTCCGCCTTTCAGTGGTAAATATTTTTAGATTCCAATGGTTTACATTTTAGAAGAGATACGCTTGTTTGCAATTGAGAGCCGTAATTATCTTGAGCACCTGCGCGCTGAAATAAATGAGCCATGTTTATTACAGGTTAGTTGAAAAATATGCTAAGAGTAACACGATTATTCCTGAATATGGCCTGTTCGTAAGTGACTCTATATGAAGGGAAGTTCATTTGGTTAGAGTCTCTACTTCAAAATTCCCGAAAATATATATTGAGCGCCACTTATTGCTCCCTAAAATTCCATTGCAGTGTGACTTTGAGTAAGGCAACTTTTAAATATAATGAGAGTCCCTACAATCTGAACAAAATTTTTGCGCACTGGCTTCACTAAGCCTCTGATCTCTTCGAGGTCGTGGCAACGGTACCCCAATGCTTAAGGAAGAGCCGGTTCCTCTGTTCACCGCGGGTAGAAGAATTCACGACGAGTCGACTCAACCAACTTTCGATGCCGTAGATGAAGTAGTCCTCATGCTCAGTGGGATCCTTACGTGAACTCGAAGACCGTCGTCAGCGGTCGATGTGAGGAATCGAACTGAACGCGATATACGATGTTGATATGCACAGCGTGATACGTTGGTCTTAGCCTGGGTGGGACTGCTCAGGGGCTGAACCCCTCGCTGTACATGTGATACATGCGATACCGAATGCTATAATAGAAGTAAAAATAATAGATATTTGAACGGTCTATCTTCACTGATGGTTCGGGCCCCAACACAGGGAACTGTGCTGGTTCAGCTGCTCGTTATGCTCCCTGGAGTACCGAGGTAAGCCTAGCCAGGGCTTCCTCAGGTCGTTGCCGTACTAGTGCAGTCATCGGCCCTTATCGATCAGAGGTAGATTACCATCTTGCGCCTAGAGCTGCGATGACAGCTGTCATTCCTGATACAGTATACCCAATAACCAATAAGCGTCGGTGGTGCGACGGTTAGCATACGCTCTCGGAAAGAGTGAGATCGGGTTCGAATCCCGGCTGACGCAAATGTTTTGCACAGCACTCCACATTATTGGGTATACTGTAACATCATACCACCGCAAGTGGCGGTGCATTGAAGAGAATTCTGACCGATTCCTGAAACAGTTTACTCCTAGCTGGGCTTTCCGGGTAGACACGTCGGACTCGTTCTCAGCCTGGGAGACCCTGCTGAGGGTTGTACCTCCCATGGTGCCTCGCAGTCCGACACCCACGAGCACTTCTCAACCACGACGAGGCGGTAAACCACGTGGGCTGAAAAAATACGAATAATAAGCAGTAGGTAATTTATTACTTGTGTGGATGTAGTTATGCAGATAAGCACGTATCCTCCGACTGGAAGGCGTCGATTCGCCGTAAACGGTGCGCAGTGGTTAGTGATACAATGAATTAGGCAAGGTGCCGGCTCAATCTCCATTCCCCTCCACCAACACTCCTTTGCAGTCAGTCAAGTGGGGATACCCTACGGGTACCTCCAAGATCGCAAAAGGAATCGGACATTGCCCTTAAGAGAACGAAATTCTCAGCCAGCCAGTTGAAGGAACGAGCAAAATTCTCGAAGACGTTTGTGAAGGACGAATGCGGCGAACCGAACGAATGGCAAGAAGGGCTGCAATCATGATGACAAGTCGTACAAACCAAAATTTACTCACTGATGTTGAGTAAATTTCAAAATTTTCGCGCCAGGCGGGACTCGAACCGGCATCTCACTCTAACGGGTAGCGCGTGCTCTAACTCATTGCACTACCGAGGCCTGTTTTGACACCACTCTACGCTACAACGCATCAATCTGTCAGCAACCAACCGTCAACGGTAAGGCTCGGCTAGTGGATATCGACACTGGATCCAGTCATTCTGACTGACATTGGACATATATGTTATAGATAAGAATTCTTCCTATTTAACCGCTTTACAGCAGTAATATGATGGTACAAATCTCCTCACTTATGCTGAGTGATGTGCAAAAATTTCGCCTCAGGCGAGGGTCGAACCTGCATCTCACTCTAACCGGTAACGCGTGCTTTAACCCGTTGCGCTACGGACGCCTGTTTTGCCAGTACTCTTTGTGGGTCGAACCGTTGACACTTAGTTGCTGACAGACTCATGCGTTGTAGCGTAGAAAGAGTGGTAGGAAGAGAGACGTCGATAGTGCAACGGGTTAGAGGACGAGCTCCCAGACAGGGGTGAAATGCGGGTTCGACTCTCGTCTGAGGCGAAAGTTTTGCACTTTACTCAACATCAGTGACGATATCTGTGTCATCATATCACCGCTAAATAAAACGATGAAATAAAAGGAAATCCTGTAGATCACAAAATGAACAATCCGTAATTCCGTAAGTCAGGTCCGTAATTTTACGTGCTGCACAAAGCGCACTGCTTGGCGGCAAGCATTGTTTTGTCGATTTGCTCGGCGCTTCTTCCTCTACATCCAGACATTTCTGGGTTGCCTGAATCGGGGTTTGTGGGTGTTCTGTTTGCTGTGCTTGGTGTGAGACCGATCCTTCCCATGGTGGTTCATCCCGACGGCTCTTTCCAGGCGCCATGGACTCGCACGACGACATCGACTGCGACGACGACTCTGTCGTTCAGCGGAACGTGGCTCGTACAACTGCTAGCGGTATCGAAATGCTTATGCTCTATTTGGAAACGGAAGCGCGTAGAATTGTGAGTTATTGCACTGAAAGAATTTGCTCCGATATTTGTATTTTCTATCTCAAATTAGATGGTTAGAGAGCGCATGTGGCGCAGTGGTTAGAGGTGCTGTGCGTCGCACACGAGGTCACCGGTTCGATCTCGCGCTCAGGATTCACCAAGCCATCTATCCCTCCGGGGTTGGTAAACTGGAACCAGACTGGTCTTAGACTTGTCTGGGAGGATAAGCAGCACTGACTCGGTTCGGCGGGAGGCCACCGCGAGTCATTGTAAAGGCCAGATATGCATTCAATCACTTTAAACGATATTAAAAATTGAGGTGGAATGCATGGCACATCCCTCAGGGATTGATCAACGCCGAGAGCTTTTATCTTTTGTTAGATGGTTCCCATAAGTTTTATCATCAGAATAATAAACACTACAAAATATTAACCAGAAATAATTGAATTGCCATGATTTTGGTATCGTTCAATGGCGCATTTCTTGCGAACATTTTGTTATATAACTTGCCTACATTTGCTTTGAGATGGAGCTGTGGTGGGAACAAATTCGCTTGCTAGTCATGCATTCCTTCGAATTCCTTGCAAGGAAAAGTGCTAGTGAAGCGGCGCGCAGAATTAGTGAAGCTGGGGGGGGGGGGGGGGGATACGATTGCAGAAAGGACGGCTAGGAAATGCTCCGCGAAGTTCGAAGCTGGAGAGAACAGTCTGGAGGATCAGTCGCGCTAGGGTCGTCCATAGGATACTCCGCTAATCTTGCGCGTCGCTTCACCAGCATCGTCCCCAACGCGTCATTTGCGCATCAGTACTAGGCTAATTTGTCCTCCATCTTGAGGCAAATATGGACAAGTTACATACGGAAATGTTCGCGAAAAAAATGTGCAATTGATTTATACCAAAATTATGCAAGTTCAATAACTTCTAATCAATAGAATTGGTGTTTATTGATCTAGTACTGAAACTACTTCCTCATATATAATCTATTCAAATTCTTAATATTTTAGCGCTTACAGCAGTGGCACAATGTTATCACTTCTATTCTGAAATGCTCAGTGACGTGCGGAACTCGCAACCTTAAGTGAGATTCGAACCCGCGCTTTTCCCCTTCACAAGACGCCTGTTAACTACTATTACCGAGTACTTCAAACCCAGGGCATGTATACATATATACGTATGCATAAAAAAAAGGATAAAGCTCTTGGCGTTGATCAATACCTGAAGGTGCGCCATGCATTCGACTTCAATTTCTAACTTCGTTTGAGGTGATTGAATGCACATCTGGCCTTTACAATGACTCGCGGTGGCCTCCCGCTGAACCGAGTCAGTGCTGCTTTTCCTCCCAGACAAGTCTGAGACCTGCCTGGTACCAATTTACCGACCCCGGAGGGATGGATGGCTTGGTGAGCCATGAGCGCGAGATCGAACCATTGACCTCGTGTGCGATGCAGAGCACCTCTAACCACTGCGCCACATGCGCTCTGTGCGTATACATATATATCCATATATATATATATACATATACGCCTACGTATATATGTACATATATATGTACGTATATATATACGTATATATATATGTGTATATATATGTGCAGGTGTATGTACATGTTTGACACTTTATTGATCCGTCTTCACAGTGTATTTTCATTGTGCTGTTCACAGTACTTCTAGCATTCAATTCGTGTATTCCTTTTCTTCTTGAACGTCATGGAATACTGGCTGAGCGAATCTCCTTGCAGTCTCGTAAATAGCCTAGCTGTGGCGTTCCAAAAGGCGTTACTGTTGACTGCGGGAGAGGATTCAGGGGTGTGGCTGCTCTCCTCGCGCGCCGCGGCCTACATCACAACCATTCGCCAGGGCGCCCTCCTACGTATGTTTACGTATATGTATATATGCCCACTTATGCATATACATATGTGTGCACATATACATACATGCATATATATGTATGTATATATGGGGGCGTAGTGGCTGAGTGGTTGTGATGCTCGTCTCGGCGCGCGTAGGCTATGTCCCTCCTCACGCTCTCCAGCAGTCAACATCAACCTTCTATTGAACGCTACAGCCAGGCTTTCCTTAAGATTGCAAAGAGGCTCGCTCAACCAGTGCTCCACGACGTTCAAGAAGAAGACGTAGCGACAAGTTGAATGCTTGAAGTACTGGGATCCGCACAGTGAAAAAAAGAGCTGTGAAGACGGATCAATAAATTGCTAAGTATACTTGTGTGCACATGTATATACATACGCACACACATACGTATATAAGCATACGTAGACGCATGTATGCGCCTATAAATGATCTAAGAAAACTCCCATTATTTTAGGGCCTTTATAGCAGTGATAAGCTTTATACTAAGAATGCCAGGTGATGAGCAAAACTCAAAGCCTTGGGCAGGATTTGAACCTGTGTCTCACCGTGTCTGGGGCTACTTTCTCACAGTTAACCACAATCCCTTATTATGCATACTTGCTTCCAGTAAATAGGTTCTTGAGGTCGTAGGTCCCGAATGAGAATCTTAAATATCACATAACGAAGACTGTGTGCATAGATTCAGCTGTCTTATATTGTTTTTTTTTATAAGGATAAAGGATAAAGCTCTCGGCGTTTATCAATGCGCCAAGCATTCGACTTCAAATTTTGACTTCGTTTGAGGTGATTGAATGCATATCGGCCTTTACAATGACTCGTGGTGGCCTCCCGCTGAAACGAGTCAGTGCTGCTTATCCTCCCAGACAAGTCTGAGACCTGTCTGGTACCAATTTACCGACCCCGGAGGGATGGATGGCTTGGTGAGCCATGAGCGCGAGATCGAACCAGTGACCTCGTGTGCGGCGCAGGGCACCTCTAAACACTGCGCCACATGCGATCCTGTTTGAGTTTTTTATACGAATGATAATTGTTAAGTAAGTATCCACTTGATATCAAATCAAAATACGCACTATCACTGCTAAAGCTTATTTATTGCGACCATGATCATAATATTGTTGTCGATCTCCAGCGCAGTTGTCCATCACAGCGTTTGGCTGATTTATTTCCTTCTTTTGTTTCATAAGTCTGATTAATCTATTTCTTAGTGTCTTCCAGGGACTGAGCGAAGAATCACAGCACTGTTTTCAACCATCCCCCCCTCCTCCCTCCCCCTCCCTCGACACATAAGTCTGACACCAAATTGACGACCTCGAAAAGGCGGAGGGTCTAGTTTTTCCTAGCCGTGACAGGAAACGAAGGACACTCCTTTTCAGGGCATCTCTTTGTGTTGCGCTTTCTTTGTATTGCTACACAGCCTTGAGATTCTTAAGAGTTGGATATATTTAACTTCGATATTCTGGCGGTATTTTGATCTAAACCTAATGATGT